GCTTTGAAAGGGGGTGGGGTGGCCCCAACTTGGGAAGTCGGGGTACGAGTGACGTGGGTGATGCGCAGTCGTTTGTAGCGTGTCAATTCAGGGCGCGTCGGAATATGCGATGCAGCCGGTCAAACGTTTTTGCGCTGAGGTGAACAAGCGCATTGCAGAGGCGCGGCAGCGGTCTCAGAACTGTTGTGTGTGGCTGCGCACCCTGGCGCCATTGTTGCTGACAGGCACGTCGAACAGCGTGGGCTTGGTGACAACCAGTGCGCCTTGTGCGCCGGCGCCCGCTGCCGCGGTGCGGCATGACGGCTGGCTCATTGCCCGGCCAAGTGGGTGCACAAGGACGTTATTATTGAAGTTGAGCTTGCCTCGGCAGAGCCTGCTGCCCGGGGCATGGGCGGTTCTAGATGCCATCCAGTTCGAAATTCTTCGACGCCGATCTCACCCCGTACAATGCTGAAGAATGTGTTGAATTACTGAAAGTGACAACGTTGATTGGATCCATGAGAGCTGAGGTCAATGGGTGAGTCGGCTAAGGCGCGCACCTGCTGCTGCACAGTCCTGGAGTGTCACTCAGACTGGTAACGCAGTCACAAGCACTGCGCTCATCATAGGTCGCGGCTGACATCCGGATCAGGTGTACAGAACCAACATGATGACGACCACCGTACCAAGAAAGGGCGTGGCTCCATGCAGCCTCAGTGCAAGTTTTCTGGGTCCACTGGTGCACTGCTGCTCATGCTGGCCACTCTGTACCAGCTGCACTGCTCAAAAGTGCCTGCATGTTACCAACTCCACTGTACTGGTTTTACCCTTGAAATCAGAACAAGAGGCTCATGTGGCCAGGCACACTGCGTGCTCATTCCTGCAAATCACATCAGTCACAAGAACCCCATAACATGGTCGGTGCATGCTCATGCTGTCACATGTAAGATGCTGTCACATGTAAGTGTGTGCAAGATGAGCACAAGTGCGGCTGTACAAAGGAGGGCGCATCGCAAAGTCAAATTTGTGGTCATCTCAGTAAATTAAGAAATCAAGTGTTGGCCCGTGATTGTGCTGCTGGCAACCCCGCCCGCTGCGCCTGCAGCTGCTTGCAAGTGGTCCTGTGCCCGCCCGCCCGCTTCCAGTCCTGGGTCTGGCACGCCGCAGAGCAGTACAGCACCGCCAGGCACCCGGTGCACTTCTTCAGCACTGCACCGCCTGGCGCCCCCGCCGCGCCGCACACTGCGCACGCCTTCCCTGGGCGGCCGCGCTGCTGCTGGTCGCCGCTGCCGCTGGCAGGGTGCTGGAGCCCGTCGCCGCTCGTGGGCGATTGGATCGTGCATCCGCCGCCGCTGCTGTCCGCTGCAGCTGGCAGGGCACCACCACCGCTTGCTGCCTGCTCCCCACCGCCACCGTTTGCAGCCAGCTCTCCTCCGCTGCTGTCCCTGCCTCTGCTGCTGCTGCTGGTGCTGCTGCTGCTGGTGCTGCTGGTGCTGGTGCTGCTGCTTGCTCCGCCGCCCTCGACCCCGGCCCTCTCCAGCTCGCGCCGCCGCCGCCGGGCCGCCGCCCACTCGCGAAGGCCTTCCCAATCCGGCTCGCCCCACTCGTCGCAGACACCCGCCAGACGCTCTTCGGACTCCGCGCCGCCGCCGGCCGCGGCGTCCGCCAGGCGCTCCATGACCGGGATCAGATTGCCCAGCCGGGCCTGGTCCAGAATCGTGGAGTCGTCCTCGGCGTCGTCCTCCGCGACCAACCGGTCGATGGACGCCTGCACCTCCCCCACGCCTTCGATGCCGAGCCGCGCCGCCGCCGACAGCAGCGCCTGCACAGCGGCGCTGTCGGCCGTCTGGATTGCAATGCAACACAGCACGCAATCCGCGGCCTCTCGGACGGCCTCGTCGAGGTGCTGCGTGGCAGCGGCCTGGGCGGCGAGCCAGGCGGCGTCACACGTGTCCAGCGCCGCCGCCAGCGGGAGGAGCGTCTCGCCGTTCAGCAGGCGCGACAGCAGCAGCAGCACCGCGCGGAGGCCGTTGGTCTGGTCGCCGGGTGCGCACGCGACTGCGGAGCGCGCAGCAGCTGTGGCCAGCGGGCCAAGGGGGTGCGGCAGGAGGCCGGCGGCGGCGCCTGCGACTTGCAGCGTGGCGCTCACGCAGCGCGGCAAGTCGGGCACCCGAGAAACCAGGGCGTCGACAGCCGAGGCGTCTTCCCAGTCCTGCGTGACGGTTGTGAGAGTGACCGGTTGCAGGAATTCAAGGGGCTGAAGTGGGTCGTTTGGTGCAACGCGCCGGCTGCCCGCAGCACAAGCAGAAGGAAAAGCAGGGGCGTGGCGCAATGAGGTGGCAGCGGCAGGCAGGCAGGCAGGCAGGCAGGCCTGCGGGCAGGCTTGCAAGCAGGCATGCAGGCAGGCGAGGGCCCGCACGCATGCGCCCTGCCGCCGCCAGGCCGCAGCTCACAACGCCGCACTGCAAGAGAAAGCTGACAGCAGGCCACGGAGCTCGGAAGACCAAACGAGAGGGCACCGCATTGGGATCGGTCAGCCGCCAGCCCTGCCGAAGCCAGTGCCCCGGCGAATCCAGCGCAACCGCCGCGTGCTGCTCAGCCGCCGCCATCATGGGGGCGGGCACGGGGCTGGGAAACATCAGCGACATGGCGGCCGCCCCCACCGCGGGCTGCCCCTGCAGCAGCGGCAGCGCAGCAGCGGCCGCGGCGGCCGGCGACACCGGGCATGTCGCGCCTTGCTGCGTGATGCAATCGCTCAGGATCTGAATGGCGAGCACCAAAGCAAGCTTGCTCTTGTCACAGTCGGCCCATGGTGTTTCGCAGTGGGTCGGCCCCAGGGCACGTATCACCCAGAACGCATCTGCCGCGACCTCGGGGCAGCTCATGACGGCAAGGCACTCCTCCTGGCTGTAGGCCTCCGCCTCAACATTGCCGCCGCCGCCCACGGCGCCGACAATGACAGGGCCGGCAAGGGCTTGAAGAGCAAGGAGGCCCTCGTAGGCTGAAAACATGTCTCCCCGCCGCAGCCGCAGCAGTCCGACCAAGCCGCGCACCACGCCAGGCGCCGCGCGCAATAGTGCTTGCGCGAGCCTCGGGCGGCGGCCGACGATCCAGCCGATGGCCCCGGCGGCGTCCACGGCGGCGACGTTCCCAGTCTCCGGCGTCGTCGCAGCTGCGTTAGCGATTTCGCGGCCGCCGACGGCGGGCGCGGGCCACTCCGATCCGGGCAGCTGCGCGGCCAGCCCCGAGAGCAGCTGCGCGTCAGCTGCTAGGGCTTGTGACATCACTTCGTCTTCAACCAGTAGGGGCAAGACCCTGCAGAGCATCACCCGTATAAAAGCGTACAGCCCCGAGATAAAGCCGCCGCCGCTCTCGCCGCTCTCGCCGCTCTCGCCGCCGCTGCTGTTGCCTCTCACACTGCTGCTGCTGCCGCCGCCGCTGCAGCAGCCAATCTCGCCGCCGCCACGGGGTGCCAGACGCGGCTTAAGCATGCACGCGAAGGCCCTCGCCATGCCCGCGGCCCCGCCGGCCGTGCGCCTCGCAGCTGCCACGGTTGCGCCTGGCAGGCAGCCGGGCCCCCATCTGAAAATTGCCGTGAGCCCCATCATTACTGAAGTTGCGTACAGCACAGCCGACTCGGCCGCATCGTCGTGCTCTGCGCCCGCCGAATCCGCGATAAGGCAGGAGCAGGCCTGCAGGTTGAGAAGATACAGCTCCGCGATGCAGCGCTTGCCACCGCCGCCGCCGCCACCGCTGCGGCTGTCGCAGCCGCTGGGAGGTGCGGTTGCCAGGGTCACCGCGTCGGGTGACGCCCCCAGGAGGTCGCTCAGGGTGCTGGCTAGCTGGACGCGCAGTGTCCTGTTGTCTGTTACAGCGCGGTCTGGGTCCTGCGCCGCCACGAGCGCCGCGATGAGGCGGCCGCAGTGCGCCAGCTGCAGCGTGCGGGCGCGCGGCGCAGCCCAGCCGATCGGAACCAGCGCGCGGAGCGCGTCGGCCGCAGAGCGCAGCCGGTCCGCGTCGTCGTTGGTGGAAACGAGGTCTGTCAGGGCCTGCATGCGCAATCAGAGAACGCAGGGGTGAAGCGGGCATGGGTTGCTCCAGCGGCGGCGATCACTACAGTACATCATGCCCAGCCAATCGCAACACCGGAGGGTCCCATGATACACGCCAGGCGTCAAGCCGGCTGCAATTTTGGGCAAGTGGGGAGCACCGGCCGCACCTGCAGGTTTTCAGGGGCCAGCTGCTCGTCGGGGTGTGCTGTCGCAGCCTCCTGCAGCCGCGTCGTCGCTGCCCACACCTGCTGACAAGAGGCATCCACCCGCTGAGCGTCCTCTAGCAGATCCAAGATGCTTTTCAACGCCGCGTTGACCGCCATGGTTTGTATGCCAAGATGCCAGGCTGATCAGCTACACAGCATGGAGCATCGCAGCAATGCTGCAGAGTGCCTGGCGTGCGGGGCTGGGCAGCTGGGCAGCAGCAAGTGGTGCGATCCCTGCAGGATCCTGAGGTGATGAGCACCCCAACAGTACCCGTAAGACGACAAATAGTATAGAAGTAGATGGTTTGAAACAATACCTACGGTAACTGCGTACAGTGATTTACAATGATCTGTGTTCCGATCGACATTGAATACGGTAACTACAAAACGGATTGTGCCCCAGATGACCGTTACAAACGTAGAGGGCAAGCCAGGGGAGATGCTGATCGCCGCTGTTTCGGCGCCGCTGGTGGTTGCCGGACAAGGGGTGTGTCGCAACATGACCACAACTGGTGCCGTTCATCAGACTGGTGTCCCAGTCATGCGCGATGCGCTCATGAGTTGCGGCTCGCATCCAGGTCAGGCGCGCAGAACCAACCCTACTCACCAACACCAGTTCAAAGAAAGGGCCTGGCTCCATGGAGCGTCCATCCACATTCTCTGGGTCCACTTGCGCATTACTGCTAGGAACACTGTGCTCAACTGCTCGTAAATCCCTGCAAAACTTCAGCTCTTCTACACTCATCTTACCCCTGCACCAAAAGGCTCAACCTGGCTATCTGTCAGTCACAACAACCCCACAATATGGTCGGTGCATGCTCATGCAGTCACATGTACATGGCTGGAAGTGTGTGCAAGAGGGGCACAAGCGTGGCTATACAGAGCGCATCGCGATTTCAGAATGCATGTATGTGATTTCAAGTATTGGCCCCTGCTTGTGCTGCGGGTGCTGCCGCCTGCTGCGCCTGCAGCTGCCTGCATCTGGTCCTGTGCCCGCCCGCCCGCTTCCAGTCCTGGGTCTGGCACGCCGCAGAGCAGTACAGCACCGCCAGGCACCGGCTGCACTTCTTCAGCACTCCGCCGCCCGGCGCCGCGGCCGCGCCGCACACCGCACACGCCTTCCCTGCGCGGCCGCACTGCTGCTGGTCGCTGCGGCCGCCGGCAGGCTGCTGGGGGTCGCCGCTCGCGGGCTGCTGCACAATGCATCTGCCGCCGCTGTCCGCTGCAGCTAGCAGATGGCCACCACCGCATGCGACCTGGTCGCCGTCGGCACTGCTCGCAACCAGCCCTTCTCCGTACCCGTCCCTGCCTCTGCTGCTGCTGCTGCTGCTGCTGCTGCCGTTGCTGCTTGCTCCGCCGCCTTCGACCCCAGCCCTCTCCAGCTCGCGCCGCCGCCGCCGCCGGGCCGCGGCCCACTCGCCAAGGCCTTCCCAATCCGGCTCGCCCCACGCGTCACAGGCACCCGCCAGACGCTCTTCCACTCCTGCGCCGCCGTCGGCTGCGGCATCTGCCAGGCGCTCCATGACGGGGATCAGGTCATTCACCCTGACCTGGTGCAGATTCGCGGGGTCGGGCTCGGCGACAAATTGTCGGAACAACGCCAAAACCTCCCCCGCGCCCTCGATGCCGAGGCGCGCTGCCGCCGCCAGCAGCGCCACCACAGCCGCGCTTTTGGCCGTGTGAATCGCTATGGCGCACAGCACGCACTCCGCCGCCTCGCGGACGGCCTCGTCGGGGTGCCGCGCCGCGGCGGCCTGGGCTGCGGGCCAGGCGGCGTCGCAGGTGTCCAGCGCCGCCGCCAGCGGGAGGTACGTGTTGCTGCGCAGCAGGCGCCACAGCAGCAGCAGCGTCGCCTGCATCCTGTCAGTCGGGCCGCCCGCCGCGCACGCGGCCGCGCGGCACGCGGCGGCCGTGGCCAGCGGGCCGAAGGGGTGCGGCAGGAGGCCGGCGGCCGCGGCTGCCACTTGCAGCGCGGCGCTCGCGGCGCGAGGCAGGTCGGGCGCCCGCGAAACCAGGGCGTCAACAGCCGAGGCGTCTTCCCAATCCTGCGGGGCCAATTCCAGTGTGTCCAGTCGAAGGGGTTTAGCAGGAGGCAGGGAGAGACGAACGAGGTTACGTCAGTGTGTTGTGCGAAGCGATGTGGGCGGCGCGCAAAAGGGTTGCCGGGGATCCAAGTCGCTTTCCTGGGACTTTGGCTGCGACGCGCCAGCTGCGTGCAGCACAAGCAGATGGCAAAGCAGGGGTGCGGCGCGATGACGGGGCAGCGCCCACACGCATGCGCCCTGCTGCCGCAGGGCTACGGCTCACCAGGTCGCAATGCAGGAGGTAGCGGACAACGGGCCACGGAGCGTTGAAGACCACAACAGAGGACTCTGCGTTGGAATCGCTCAGCCGCCAGCCCTGCCGAAGGCAATGGCCCGGCATGTCCAGCGCAATCGCCGCGTATCCCTCCGCCGCCGCCATCATGGGCGCGGGCATGGGGCTCGGAAACATCAGCAACATGGCTGTCGCCCCCACCGCGGGCTGCCCCACCAGCAGCGGCAGCGCGGCGGCGGCCGCGGCGGCCGGCGAGACGGGGCATGTGGCGCCTTGCTGGGTGAAGCAATCCCTCAGGGTCTGTATGGCAAGCATCAACGCAAACTTGCTCTGGTCTAAGGCGTCCCTTGGTGTCCCGCAGTGCGTCGGCCCGAGAGCACGCAACACCCAGAACGCCTCTGTTGCCACCTCGGGGCTGAGCACGACGGCGAGGCATTCCTCCCAGCCACAGTCCTGCGCTTCCTCGTCGCCATTGCCGTCGCCGTCGCCGCCGCCGTCGCCAGAGCGGCCGCCGCCGGTGACGGCAGGGCAGGCAAGGGAATTGAGGGCGTTGAGGGCCTCGTGCGCTGCGTACGTGTCGCCCCGCCGCAGCCGCAGCAGTCCGACCAACCCCGAGGTCGTGCCAGGCGCAGCGCGCAGCAGGGCGCGCGCGAGCCTCGGGCGACCGCTGACGATCTCGCCAATGGCCCCAGCGGCGCACACGGCGGCGGCGGCCTCGCTGCTCGGCACGGCAGCCGCTGGATCATCCATCTCACGGCCGCCGACGGCGAGCGTCGGCCGCTCCAATCCGTGCAGTTGCGCGGCCAGCGCTGCGAGCAGCTGCGCGTCAGCTTCTAGGGCTTGTGACATCACTTCGGTGCCGAACAGTAGATGAAAGACCCGGCAAAGCATCACCCGTATCCCAGCGCACAGCCC